GCACAATAATATAGCAGCATATGTGTAGATTACGTAGGATAACCCAAGAAAGAGGTGGTGTTAGGAATGACGCTGGAGATGGTTATGGTAGGAACGGTGGTGGTCCTGGGATGGTGGTGCTGGTAGTGGTGGTGCTGGTAGTGGTGGTGCTGGTAGTGGTGGTGCTGGTAGTGGTGGTGGTCCTGGGATGGTGGTGCTGGTAGTGGTGGTCCTGGGATGGTGGTGCTGGTAGTGGTGGTTGACGCTGGAGATGGTTATGGTAGGAACGGTGGTGGTCCTGGGATGGTGGTGGTGGTAGTGGTGGTGGTGGTAGTGGTGGTGCTGGTAGTGGTGGTGCTGGTAGTGGTGGTGGTGGTTGAGAGGGTTACGGTGGTAGTGACAAGTAAGTTTATTTAGGTACAGGTATACATAAATATAATTACACAATTTATTATGCATAGTAATATATGTGTGTAAATTACCCAGGATAACCCAAAAAAGTCAAGTGGCTTATTTCCAGTGGTGGTCGTTGTGATTGTGGTGGTTGCTGTGGTGGTGGTTTCTGTAGTGGTGGTTGCTGTGGTGGTGGTTACTGTGGTGGTGGTTCCTGTGGTGGTGGTTGCTGTGGTGGTGGTTGCTGTGGTGCTGGTTGCTGTGGTGCTGGTTGCTGTGGTGCTGGTTGCTGTGGTGCTGGTTGCTGTGGTGGTGGTTACTGTGGTGGTGGTTGCTGTGGTGGCGGTTTCTGTAGTGGTGGTTACTGTGATGGCCGTTGCTGTGGTGGTGGTTGCTGTGATGGTGGTTTCTGTAGTGGTGGTTACTGTGATGGTGGTTGCTGTGGTGGTGGTTGCTGTGGTGGTGGTTTCTGTAGTGGTGGTTACCGTGATGGTGGTTACTGTGGTGGTGGTTGCTGTGGTGGTGGTTGCTGTGGTGGTGGTTACTGTGGTGGTGGCGGAAGGAACAGATACAGGTACCGTATAATCTTGACGTTAAACCACTGTCATATATCATGTTTTTATTTACGTCTGTCTTAACCACTCTGAGGATGACTACGACGGGTAAGCTCTCTTGTCTACGTCTTTGTCTTACCTAATACAGGGATCTTGACCCTGACAGACCTGGGGCTACGCGAAACGTGTGTGGGGGGGGGATAAGCGAAGGGGCAGAGGAAAACCTGTGTGTGAAGTGTAAGGTTCAAGAAGGATGTGTGAAGTGTAAGGTTCAAGAAGGATGTGTGAAGTGTAAGGTTCAAGAAGGATGTGTGAAGTGTAAGGTTCAAGAAGGATGTGTGAAGTGTAAGGTTCAAGGAGGATGTGTGAAGTGTAAGGTTCAAGGAGGATGTGTGAAGTGTAAGGTTCAAGGAGGATGTGTGAAGTGTAAGGTTCAAGGAGGATGTGTGAAGTGTAAGGTTCAAGGAGGATGTGTGAAGTGTAAGGTTCAAGGAGGATGTGTGAAGTGTAAGGTTCAAGGAGGATGTGTGAAGTGTAAGGTTCAAGGAGGATGTGTGAAGTGTAAGGTTCAAGGAGGATGTGTGAAGTGTAAGGTTCAAGGAGGATGTGTTAGGGAATAATCTCAGTGAAGTTCCCAGCAATGAACCGACGCAATTCTTCCCTCCCTGAGGCACCATCGTCCTTGTGTTCAATTAATTATAACCATCCCCACGTAGCCGGTTGCAGAGCACCAGCTCCAATCAATGTCCATGTTCGATTCCCGTACGGTGGAAACATGCTTGTTTCCTTAAGACCCTGCTGTCCCTAGTTTACTTAGCACAGTAGACTGGCTGTTAGCAGACTGGTGTGGTCGCATCCTGGGACAAACAAATGCTCATGATCTGATGTATCACGATACTTGAGAAATTAGGGTGTTTAGATTATCAAGGAAGCGCAAAATCGTAGGGTTATACCCTGCTGAGGACGGAAAAAAGGCATACAGGCTCAATTCAAGGACTGGAGCACAGATCCATCCTAGATCAAGAGCCCTCACTAGCTATCAAGAACTCACTTGAGGATGCGGATTTGTAGCTAAGTTGGGAGTGTTGTTATGGCCATAAGGCGCTGGAAGGTGGGGGGGTTCATGGACGAGGCTGGAAGGAGGGCACTGGGAAGGGAACAAGACAGGTGAATCAATGGTGGGCCAGACTCAGTTGTCTCTGATAAGATTTTTCCTCAATTCTCAAGCGAGACATGACGAATTAGTCATTAAAAATCTTGCAGCAAGCGGAGCGACAGGACAGTCGGGAGCTGGAGTGGAGGTGGAGGTGGAGGATGGGGAAGGAGGATGGGAGGGTGAGGTGTGGAGGCGAGACGAGTAGTCTTGGTCAAGTCTATCACCTGTGCAATACTTCATTCTTAATTTCCAATATTATTTCAAATAACCCACACGACTTGGATGGTTGACTAGTCAATTATCCTAGTAGGACCGAAACGTCGTCATACTCATCTTTCTCCTATGTGCGGGTTATTTGTGTATTGTTCCAGTCACTGTATTGTGCCTTTTTGTTCTCCAGTGTATTCCACTGCTCTGTGATATTACATAAATCTCCTGTTTGGATAATTTATTGGGTTGAAAGCTTGTAATTACTCGAGGGTCATTAAGCTCGTATGTAACCTGTATATCACCAGTCAAAAACAATTATATCTTAAAAATAGGGATTAAATTTTCTCTGTCTAAGCACATAGAGATATACACCTCTCGCAATGGACTCAAATTAAGTTGTAATAAGCAATGAATAAACAGAAGTGTGGTCGTGAGGCTCGAACCACAGTCTGTAAACGTGGTGTTGGACTATCAATTTACAGACCTCGATTCACGCCCCCTCACCCACCCTTTTGTTTATTCACCTCTCGAAAGATGTACCCTTGCCTTATGATTCTGTTATTAGGTTATTTACAGTTGTAGTCACCGGAAAGTATACGGATGAGGGATGGTAGGGAAGGAAGGGTAAATGTGAGGAATTGATAGTGGAAGGATCTGTAGAGTAAAGTGGAGAGACTACTACTCCTGTCAACAGTGATATATTCACTTGAATAACCTAAAAAAGGCACATTACAGTGGCTGGAACAATACACAAATATTTGTGTATATATTCACTTGGATTCTACTCTTGTGTAGACGAAATTTTTCTTGCAGTAAAGATACCCAAGTGTTTCACGTGTGTCTTATTCTTCAGCTTGTCGGTATTGTTTATGTGAAGTTTACCTGGAGTCTCTTCGGGGGGTCACCGCCCCTGTGGACCGCTCCTAGACCAGGCCCCCTGGTTACTGGCCTCATCCCTCAAGTTGTCAGTGCACCACAACCCGGCTGATCAGGAATTGTTTTAAGGAGTCTGTCGAGTTCCCTCCTGAAGACAGCTAGAAGTTTGTTGGTAATAAGGGAGGAGGTAAGATTTTTAAATTAATATCATAAGGTATAAGGATAATTCCTACTCTCCAATACTTGAATGTTTCCAGAAGTACTGGAATTTTTTACACACTGGACAGCGGGGTTTTCATACACAGGATATAACATTCCAGCAGGACTGGAATTTCTTACACAGGATATAACATTCCAGCAGGACTGGATTTCTTACACAGGATATAACATTCCAGCAGGACTGGAGTTTCTTACACAGGATATAACATTCCAGCAGGACTGGAGTTTCTTACACAGGATATAACATTCCAGCAGGACTGGAGTCTTCCGACACATTTTTACCAGATGCGACCCACAATAGTCGGCAAACACAGAGATACACGCTTTTACATCTACGTTGGCAGGAGCAGCAGGGATATAATGAAACTTGCCATACGTTTCTTCGTTACGGGGAGTCGAACCCTGGGCGTTGCGATTATGAGTGAAATACTCTCACCAGTGAAGTAGGTTCTTCCAGGGAGGGAGGAGTGAGGGAGAGAAGGGAGGGTAGAGAGAGAAGGTAAACATACTTGAGGGACCTAGCATGGCTGCTGGACCGGACTTTCACTGCTGGTGTCAGCCTGGATCACTGCCAGTCCGCCTACTCTCACTATCACTGTTCTTATCTCCCCTCCAGTTACCCCTCAAGCTGCGTCACCTTTACGTGGTGGAGAGGGTGACGTTGTATCCCAAATAATTAAAACTCGATTTCACATTCCCGTAGCTGCTGACTTAAACACCAACAAACATAATAATCTTTATCTCTACAAGTACATGTATAAGGTATTCAGTCCTAGCTGACATCAATGACATACTACTATATAGAAAGCCGCTTGTTATGCAGAGCATTTCGGGCAAATTAGGTAAAAATTTGTTCCCAGGATGCGACCCACACCAGTCAACTAACAGCCAGGTATACATTTTACTGATGGGTGAATAGGGACAGCAGGTGTCTTAAAGAAACACGTCCTAATGTTTCTACCCGTAGTTTAATATACTTTTGATATACCCTACCTCTGATGAGTTTCAAGAGTCTTTCTACTTCCGGAGCCCGGCCATGGGCCAGGCTCGTCTGGTGCTAAGCCTGATCAACCAGGCTGTTGCTGCTGGAGGAGGAGGCCCCGCTGCCCCACATATCCATCACAGCCTGGTTGATAAAGATACTTGTCCAACTTCCTCTTGAAGATTTTTACAGTTTTTCCAGCAGTGTTTCTGATATTTTCTGATAAGATGTTGAGTAATCTGTGGCCGCAGATGTTGATACAGTGTTCTCTTACTGGGTCCACCGTACCCCTGCTAGGATAACCCAAAATGGCCTCCCTGTTGCTGGACTGATTAATCAGATAGACTGAGAGAGAGAGAGAGAGAGAGAGAGAGAGAGAGAAGGGGGGCCAGGTCCACGCCCAGAGGATGCCCTTTAATGACTCACCCGCTGGGCACCTTCACCCCGTCGTTACTGAGAGAGGGTCGGGTTGGTAGGGAAGGGAGGGAGGGAGAATGGGGATAGGAGAGGGAAGCTGGAATGAGAATGGGAAGGAGGGTGGGTGGGGGGAAGAGTAATGTAGTTTCATCTACGCACTCTTGACACTGGCTATAGCGACTGTAGCAACTGGACTCAAGAGATGACCACTCACCCGCCATTCTGTCGTCTGATTGGCGACTGAAATAACTGGTCATAATTGATAACTCGAGGCCACCAATCAGTGCTCTTCGAGTCCACTAATCAAGGCTCTAGGAGACCAATCAGTGCTCTTGAAGATCACCAATCAAGGCTCTTGGAAACCACCAATCAGGGCTCATGGAGACCAAGCAGGGTTCATGGAGACCACCAATCAGGGCTCTTGGAGACCACCAATCAGGGCTCATGGAGACCAAGCAGGGCTCATGGAGACCACCAATCAGGGCTCTTGGAGACCACCAATCAACTAATCAGCGTTGCACAGCTCAC